CCGACCTGCACTGCCAATGCGCCCCCCACCCCCGGGGTAACGCATCCGTCGTGACCACCTCCCGTCTGGCGGGAACCGCGCCAAGCGGGACGCCGAGACTCAGGTAGGCGACATCGTCCCAACGACGTAAAAGAGCCACACAGCTGCTCGTGACCTCCAGCTCGACCCGCCTGTGTCGCCGGGGATCCAGGCGGAAGCCGTTGAACCACCTCTGCAAGGGCCGAAGGTGGAGCAGCCCGAGAGGCACCAGTGCAGAAGCCGAGACCAGCATCCCCAACAGTCGCAGCCACACCTGGACCGGGGGTGCCGCCCCAAGACGAAAGGCCCGGAGCAAGGACCGAATCCGGACCCTCCTCTGCTCGGTCAGCCTCGCCCGCATGGCCACAGAATCTATGGCAATGCCGATAAAATCCACCCGCTGAGTCGGAACCAGAGAACTCTTCTGCAGGTTCACCGTCATCCCCAGCGCCTCGACGTGGGCAAGGACCCTGGCCGTGGCCAGACCCACTTCGCGACACGACGGCGCGCAGACGAGCCAGTCGTCGAGATATGGCAGGACCTTCAACCCCGCCCGACACAGGGGGCTCAGGGCTGCCTTCACGCACCGCGTGAAAACTCGGGGGGCGAGAGACAGGCCGAATGGCAGAACCAGAAACTGGTACACCCTCCCGAGGAAAAAAAATCGCAGGTACTTCCTGTGCCCCGGATGGATCGGGACATGGAAGTATGCATCCTTGAGGTCTATGGTCGTAAACCACTCTCCCGGACAAACCACCTGAAGGACATCGCGAGTCCGAAGCATGCGGAAGGGCAGCACCTTCAGGAACCGATTGAGACCCCTGAGGTCCAGTACCGGCCGCAGGGGCCCGTCCTTCTTGGGCACCAAGAAATACGTCGAATAAAAGCCGTCCGCCTGCAAATGCGGCGGAACGACCTCTATGGCCCGTTTGTCCAGGAGCACATCTATTTCCTGCATCAGGATGCTGACCCGTGCAGGATCTGTGACCGAAGTCACCCTGACCCCTGAAGGGGGTGGGGGCCGACGGCGGAACTGCAACCTGTAGCCCTGGGACATAGTTCGAACCACCCAAGCGTCTCCGCATTGGGCCTCCCAGAGGGCCAGGTGCTGTGGTGTAAATCTGCCCGCCGCCGGCCCACAGCCCTCAGGCCGTGTCCCGACGCCTGTTTGGGGCCCTGGGGGGGCGGCGGCCCCTGTCCTGCCCCGAGGATCCCCGGGGCGGTGCCTGACGTGCCCCCGAGCGTCTCCAAGTCCCTGCCGCAGCCGCGGTCTGCTGGGCGACCTGCACGGGGGCGGCCGGACGAAACCGGCGCCGAGGGTCCCGTGTCCCTCGTGGCCTGGACTGTGGCATGGGGAGGACCCCTACCCCGCTACGCCCACTCCAGGCCTCTGCGGCTTGTCTAGACTGCCGCCGACGTTCCAACGCCCGCTCAGCCTCGGGCCCGAACAACTGGCCCGGCACCACGGGCAGACCGCGCAGGCTCTGTCGGCAATCATCCGACACCGGAGCCTGCGCCAACCAGACCTGACGGCGAGCCACTACCAGCGTGCCCAACAACCGACCAAGCTCCCTGGACATCAGCCCAAATGCTTGCAGGGCTGCGTCGTTCGTATCGCCCAGTGCCATCCCCGCTGCGCCCGACTGCAGCATCTGGGACTGGGCTAGCAACAGCACCGACGGCGAATTGCTGGTGCGTGCCATCCGTGCCCCGATGTCGTAAGCCCGGCACAGTAAGCTGTCGGTCACCCGACACTGGGTGCTCGGACAGCGGACCCTGTCCCTCAATGCCTCATCCGGGGAGAGCACCAGCGAGGCAACGCAGTGGTCCACCGGGGGCATGCGGTCCAACCCGTAGGTTCCTGCCTCCCGCATCGATGCCAGGGTCCTGGCATCCCTACCATGGTGGGAGAGCTGTCTCGGGTCCCCCCAGCACCGCTGCAGCTCCTCCACAAAGGCTGGCGATGGTGGGACCTGAAACGGGGGCGCCGCCGGAGCCCGGCGGAAGAAGGGATTCCCCGCCGGACGGGCCACCGGCACGTCGTCCAGTCCAATCCTGGCCAGTGCCGCTCGCAAAATCGCCCGCAACTGACAGGGGTCCTCCGCCAGCTCCGAGCTTGCTGAGCTATGGAGAGACATCCCCGAGTCACCGTGAGCTCCCAGGCCCGGGGGCTCCATCACCAGCCCCTGACTACGGCCAGGAGAGGGGCCCTCCTCCTCGAGGGACTGAAACTCCGAATTTGAGGCCCTCACAGAGATCAGGTCGTCCGGGCCCCCCTCGTCCGGGGCTCTGGTCAGCAGCGCTTTGAGCTGTTCCACCTCCGCCCGCAAAGAGTCCACTTCCTGGCGAGAGGGTTGCGCCACACGCCGCTTCTTGCGCCTCGGGCTGCCGCGTTCCTCAGCCGGTCTATCCCTCCGTCTCCCGGAACACGGGCGAGGGACACCAGAGGGCGGCAGGTCTGACTCAAACAGGAGGCACTCCACTTGACGTAGCCTGTCCTCCCGCACCGCCAGCGGCAAAATGCTGCAGTTCATGCACGGGTCAGTCAGCGCCTCTCTGAGGTGACCGACGCCCAGGCACTTAGGACACAAGTCGTGGCCGTCCTCCACCTGGAGGGGAGCCCCGCATGACGTACACTCCAACATCCTTACCGGTGTGGGAGACGCCAGCGACTCCACAGGAACTGAGCGAGGACTTCGAGGAAAACTGAAGAACGCGATTCAGTCCTGGAGTTGTAAAACAACGCACGTGTGTGTGTGTCGGCTAGGTAATCTGAGCGTGCCACCACCACGGTCAGAACGTCCAGCCCCACTCACCGGTAACGTTGTAAAACAACACACGTGCGTGTGTGTCGGCTAGGTAATCTGAGCGTGCCACCACCACGGTCAGAACGTCCAGCCCCACTCACCGGTAACGTTGTAAAACAACACACGTGCGTGTGTGTCGGCTAGGTAATCTGAGCGTGCCACCACCACGGTCAGAACGTCCAGCCCCACTTACCTGTAGCGCTCGCCGGCCGCACTCACCTCCCCTTTCCACAGGGAAAAACCTGCGACCGCCAGCGAGCCCTATCCGAGCCGGCAGCGGCGGTCCGAACGGCGCCGGCCGGCCGCACCACCCGCACTCGGTAACAATTAGCAGATAAATAACAGCGTCAATCCACCGCCCCAGAGGGCTCCTTCGAGCGCTCCGACCACACGGTCCCGGGCAGGAAGACGCCAAGTAAAAACAGTACTCACCTCTCAAGACCGATAAGATCCGAATCACGGACTTACGGAGCGATTGACCAGCGAAGCACGCCAGGCCAACAGCGAGAAGATCAAAGAGACCCGAACGTAGCTATCGGCGCGTAATTTATAGACTCGCGACCAGGTGCGCTACGTGTCACGTGCGTGACTTTGTTTACATTAGTACTCGACCTGCGCAGAGCGCGAGGAGATACATCCACTCTGTTTACTGCCACTGGCAGTCAGGAGGGAACGAAACAGAACTCTGTGATTATTCACAATGTTGGGAAAAGAGTTGGACATTGATTAAATTGTCTAGAATTAACCAAGCAGCACATTTGGAGTTACAGAACGCCCATGTTAAAGTCTGCTAAAGCATTTCCTCTTGTGTTCCGCCTTTTCACTGATTTGCTTTACTCGAAAAGATGGGGGAAAAAAATCACAGAATGTACAATGTCTCCTGTTCATTTTATGAATATGCACCATGGGAAGGCAGCTGTGCAGGTATCACCAACACTTTAAATGCACTCCGAACAGGGACATTGGAGTGCTCTTAATTACAGTCTCAGAGTGGATCAGTACAAAGGATTTCAGCAGTAAAACACCTTCAGTTAAACATCTGTAAGTGGTGCATGTTGGCCTGCACATCATTAGAAGTATCTGCTTTATCGCTCAGGGTCTGAGTGTACTAGTACTCATAGCTACTGTCTGCACAGATCAATGAAGTTCCACCATTAAAACACAGAGTGTGAGCCAACAAATCAATAAGGTCTGAAATTTGGATGTAGCAAGATGTGGTGCTACATGGTCCATGTATTCAGAGAGGGATTGAAAGTGGGTCAAAAAATAAGGGAAGTGTGTTAGAAGAGCTAGGCGTCTCAGAGGTAAAATGATGGATGAGGTGAACATACAGGAACATACAAGAATGGGAGTTAAACAAGGACAAGTAAGAAGGAAAAACATCTGCCATAAAACCCATCAGCACATTGAATTTTCAGTTTCACAGTTTTATTCACAAAGCAGCAGGCCATGTTGGGCTGGATCTTTCCCTCCTGGGAGCCCACAAGCTAACTCTGACCAAAGGAGGAGTTCCTATCGCAGAACATTTTCATCTCACTTCATCATCTGCATGCAAACATGATCCCAGCAGCATGTGTCAAGAAGACTTGCCAAAATGTCTATTTCATTCTGCAAATAGACCAGGGATAACCAATCCTGGTCCTGGAGGTCCTGCATGTTTTAGTTGTTTCACTGCTCTAACTCAATATTTCATATCAGTGGTTATTGACAGGCTTCTGTAGCCATGGCTAGATGAGCTGCTGAACAGTCAAATCAGCCATTGAATCAGGTGTGTTAGAGCAGGGAAACAACTAAAACATACTGGATAGCTAATCTCCATTATTATCCCTGAATTAGACTATACACCTGTTAATCCAATTCTGCCCAACGACTGAAACAAGGTTCAAGAGTTAGAGCAGGACTCTGGTCTACCTCAGGCAGGTAAATAATGTCAGCCAGCTGACGCCCTTCTCCCACATGGCATGTGTGTGTACCTTTAGGGCTAAGGAGCAATTTTCTGAACCGAGATAGCTCTGGATGGCATTTGTAATAATGCTGCTGTCAAAAATATGACTCTAACTTGTCCAATTTACCTCTAGAAGACCAGGCTGAGCCAGTATCAAAACCCCAAATTGAGGGGGAATGTGTGAGATAGAACCAGTAAACATTTAAATTACAATAAATGATCAGACTTACCCACTGCACAAGAGTTTTAGCCCAACAGAACAGCAGATGCCTGCATGACCTGACTGGACGGCGCGCGCGGCTGTTAATCAAAGATAGTGGAAACAGCTGGGATTATTCGCCGAACTTATCAGCGTATTAAAACGCTGAAATTAACTAAGAGTGGTAAATAACGTTTTAAAGGCGGTTTAACCCCGTTTCTCCACCAGTCTGCCCGTTTGTTAAATGGGTACCTCGTGAGTTTTGCGCAGCTCATCCACACATGGGGACAAAGGGAATCCCGACGCCTCTCCCGCTTTGGTTCCGGATGAGAGAGCAGCTCTACCCGCATCCAAGCACGGATTCTGTCCCCTCTCAGCAGGGGGTTGTCTCCGTCCTCGGCTGGGATGTTTTCGGGGGTTTTCTCCACAGCAGTCTCCTCCTCCTCTGACCAGGACACAGCCCACTCTCCGCGCACTGTTTCTTGACGTGTCCTTGTAATATTTTTACATATTTTAATATTTTTGCTTGAATACTTTTATTCGAGCCTGAAAGAAAACTGAAACAAAAGTAGTACGCAGAAGCATCGATTTTTCTGTGGTCACGGCTTCATTTTTAATTACCACCCATCCCAGAACGGAGCGCGTTAAGATCTGAGGCGGGAGCAGGCTGCTCTCGCGTTTAAAATCCATCTGAAGCTGGGAGCTCCCCTCTCCCACCCCCTCCTCCCTCCCCCAGTCTCAGCAGATGAGGAGTGTGGACCAATCGAGAGGCTGGAAAGCAGAGAGGGAGAAGCCTGGGACCACAGAGCCGTCAATTATCTACCAGCAGACTTAAAACCCAATGAAGTTAGAATATGAACCATTTGTGACTGGTATACGTAGATATAAAATAGACTCAGAGGGTCTCATTTCTGTTTTTTTGCAGTGGTTCTGTTTGTGTTTTCAAGCACTGGTGCCACTCATGGATGAGTGTGCAGCAGCTCCTCCACAGCTAAGGCCATGCTCCAAGGTAATGATGCAGGCTGAGAGTGAGTCTCTGCCTCAAACTGATGAGCAAGTGATGGTGGTATCAGGAGAGATCTGTTGGAGCTGCATGAGGAGCAAGCAAAGCTCTCAGTGTTGTAAAGTCAAAATCCCATAGTCACATCATCACACACAGGTGAAATTCATCTCTGCATTTGACCCATCGAGCGGTGAGTTGCAGCTGCTGCTCTGGAACTATTTGGTGGTTTAACCCCCCAATCCAACCCCTTAAAGCTGCGTGTCAAACAGAGAAGCGTTGGGTCCCATTTTTCAAGTCTTTGGTATGACCCAACTGGGAATCGAACCTCGATCTCCCAGTCCCAGGGAGGACACTCTTCTAGTAGGCCACTGAGCTGGTATATCCAAACAGCTGGAATGAGCTTCAAAGATAAGAGGACACTTCATTAATGACCTGTACTTGTAGAGTGCTTTTCTGAGTCAGAGAACTCCAAAGCACTTTACACTACAATGAATCTTTCATCCACTTACACACACATGCACACACACACACATAGAGTGGTGGTGATGCGCTACATATTAGCCACAACTGTCCTGGGACAGCTGTGACAGAGGGGAGACTGCCACTGGTCCTTTCGACCACCACCAGCAGGCAAGAAGGGTGAAGTGTCTTGCCCAAGGATGCAATGACTGCGACAGCCTAATCGGGGTTCAAACCTTCAACCCTTAGGTTACACAGCTTCATCATCCATGGGGAGCTCAGAGTAGAGCCGCTGCTCCTCTACATCTGGATAAGCCAGTTGAGGTGGGTTGGGCATTTGATTAGGATATGCTTCCTGGATGCTTCCCAGGAAGAAGAGCTGTTTTAGGTATTTCCTGTAGCCAGAATGAAGGTGCCTGGGTCAACTGAGGACACGTTAAAGGAATCATATCTCCAGGCTGGCCAGGGAACACCTGGGTATCCCACCAATGGAGATGGTGGAGGCTCTGCCGGAGCTGCTACCCCTGCAAACCAGACACAAACAAGTGGCAGAATAACAAAGAATGAACAAAGATTAGATGGATGCAATCTAATGAAACTAATGAATGTCAAAAATATTCACTTTAGCACACCTCTGTTGTTGCTTGGCTTCCTGGGGCTGGAGGCTAGGAGGGAGATCTGGCCATCCGGTTGGGGTCTGGGGTGGTGGGTTGCTGTGCTCAGCGTTGGGCGGGGGAGCCTGCTCATCAGCATCCCAGCAGAAAGGGTTGAACTCTGGGAACCGTAATGGTTGTACCCCACATGCAGCAGTACCGGGACCAGAGTTAATAGGGTGTGTATGGGGAGCATGAGTGGGTGTCCGGCGTGCATTTTTGTAAGTCTTTGGTTGTATGTGCATGTGTGAGCATGAGGGAGGGAGTGTGTGACTGTGTTTGTGTATGATTGTATATGTCAGGTGGGGCCTTTGACTCCTCTCTTCTCCTGGGACTTCTTTTGATGATTTAGATCGTCGTCTCCCCTCCCCCTGCCACACCTGGTGTGGGGTGTGGTGCCTTGGTCTGCCTGAGTGTTCGTGGCTCCCGGGTCTGGGGGTTTAAGATTTTTGGCGTCTACCTGATCAATCCCGGTGGCTGTCTGGTGGGGTCTGGGTCCCTGGACTCTGCTTGGTCCCCGGCAGGGGAGGTCGCCCCTGGGTCCCGGGTCGCTGGGTCCCGGGCTCGGCCAGCTAGGGGGTGGGAGGCTGCGGGCAGACCTGTGGGCTTGCCGCTGATATCTCCCGGGGCTCTGCCGGCTGCTGGTTGTGGCCCCCCGGGACGATCCTCTGTGCCTCTTGAGGGGGGCGGGGGCCTTTCTGGTTGCAGTCTCCTTGGGGTTCCTGTGCTCTGGGGCAGTGCCTGGATCTCTGGGACTTGGAGCTCCCCCCGTCTCCTACACATCTTTGGGGGGCAGATCTGTGGCCCTTCACACTCTCTATTGGACGCTCCTATAGAGAAACCTTACATAAACAAGTGCATGTACACACACAGGTGCTCACATGGTGCTCTCATAAGTATGGGCTTGGGCACGTTCAACACATGTCTCAAGGCTGTCGTTGCCACTAAATGCACTGTGATTTATTATCGTGTGATTGTTCAGTTAAACAATGTTGATTTTATATTTCCTCATCAGGCTGACACAGTGATAGCTTGCTCCTGATGTATTGTTGTGTGTCCCATTTTTTTCTATTCTTTCTCTTTCTGCAGGTCTAGAAGCAGACTCTTGTTCATTATTGTTTATTTTTGTGGAAACCCCCACCTTTTGTCTTTTCCTTTCTCTTTCACCTCTGACTCCGTGTCTGGTCGGAATTACAAAGCATTCAAAAACAATAACAATAAAGTTTTAAGTATCAGGCGTGACTTTGAAAGCAGAAGCTTTGATGCTCCACCTGAGAGTAAATCTGTAAGGCTTGTCACCAGCATTCAGACATCAATTCTGTTTGCTTCACAGCCAGACAGGACACGGGGAAAAAATAAATAAATAAATAATTCACTTTAAACCGTTGTTCAGTTTTACGGATTGCAGTTTGATTTAGATCAAAGTAAAAAATAAAACAGTGCATTAAAAATGTTATAAGTTTTGATTTACAAGTCCTGTGGGATATGTCAAAGTGGGTATGTCTGCTCTAACAGTCGACCTTTGACCTGTGTTTGACCAAACAGCAGAATATTAATTAAGGTAAGGAGCTGAAACAATTTCCACTATTTCATGTAACTCCTTTTACAGTCAGATGCCTAATAAAACGAACTTAAATAGCTTCAAAAAGATTCTTCTTATAGTCAGGTAATGGTTTGTGGCTGAAGCTTTATTTTCTGACCTACATTAACTAAAGAATCTGCAAAGAAGCTTTTTTCCTGCGGCTTTGTTTGAGCAAGCAGCTAAATCTTTAGTTCTGGGTAAAGCTGCAAAAACCAAAATGAGATTAGAGCATGCAAATAAATGTGCATGAATGGCAAATGAATCAAAATAAATGAGCCTTAAAATTCAACCCCTTAAGTATGTTATTTTAAATGCTCATGTGACAAACGTTCTGCATTTATGCACATAAAATCTTTTTGTCCAACAAGTAAGACTGATTTGGCAAACATAAGATGCCCTAAAACTGAAACAGAAATATGCAAAAAAAAAATGTCTTCTATTTTTTTTTTACTTTTTTCCTCCTTTAGTAGAAAACGTTGAAGGGTAACTTTAGAGACGACTATGAAATTGCTTTCAAATACAAGTGCTCATCACAGCACTTTGTTTCTCCCCCACAGATACTTTCTCCTCAACCACCTCCTTTAGTTCCAACACAAAGTAGAACATATTTTTGCTACAGCTACTCTGAAGCTATGATTAAGTACTATCACTCTGTTTGTTCTTCAGCGGGTTTTAATAACCGCTCAACTCATCGTTGACCTTTGTAATCTTCTCTGCAAGCATGGAGCATCTTTCACGTAGGACATTAGCCCTTTGATGCATAATGGTCACTACAGTGGACAGGTACTTAAAATTGTTATTTATTTATTTTTGCTATTAAGCACAGCTGTTGAAGACTTTATTGCATTTGAACCCCTCCATCTGTACTTCAGTAAGTCAAGCCAACATTTTTCATGTTCAGATTGCACACTGTCCACTGAGGTGAACATGTAATAAATTATTTGTAAATTAAATTTTACAAAAAATATGTAAATATGAAATTTGTTTCATTCACACCTGAAGATGAATGAAAAAAATTGTTTAAAAAATCATGGTTGACAATTTCATAATTCATGCATCAAAGGGTTAGATAAGACACAAGTGGGAGTGTTTAGCTTTGGGCCAGAGTTAAGCAAATAAGTATTTAAGGTCTAATGTAGAGAAAATGATGCAATGAGGCGTTACAAGTAAAGATCTGTTTGTATAATTCCTCTGTTTTGTTGCCAGTTATGAGATCATTTTGTGTATTTCTGTAACGATGCATCTGGTGCTCTGTTGCATGTCATTATTGCTCTCTTCATCTCTCCTGCCATCATAAACAGACTTGATATGAAGTTTAGGGGAATAAAATCACATCTTTGATGTGATGTTCGGTAATTTCAGCTCATTTTATTCCCTGACTGACTTCCATTAAAAAAAAATATGTCACCTTCTCCAGTCGCTGTCCCACAGTTATTAGTCTGTATGATCTATAAAGGGCGTCAGTTCATGAAGTTTAAGCTGAACAATTATAAGAAACTTGATTCAGTGTGAATCAGAGGAGATCCATATATTATTAAATCCCAATTGAATAATATTTCTAGAGTTTTTAAAAACAAATCTGCCTCAATTTGAATGAAATTTGACCCCATTAATTTTTTTCTTTAATTTAAAATATGTCAAACGTTTTATGAACTGCAAGCAGAGACATTAACAGGAATAAAAGCTTTAGAAAATACACACAAATAATAAAAATGAAACATTAAAGAAATTCTGATAAACTGGGCTGATTTAAAAGCGGTTAGCTTTGGAGTGGAATACAATAGCTGGCTCCCAATAGCTACCATTTTCCCACTAATTAGAATGTTGATGACTACACAAATAAATAATAATATCACATTTTTGTAAAAACTGTGTGAGCTTGCAAATTGCTTTTAAGAAATGATTGAATCCATTGGTTGTTGGTATTGTTGTGCAGAAG